GTGGCTGACCACTTAAGTAGGATAAAACATGATAAAGAGAACTTAAATCCATTCACCGGGACCTTCCCTGATGAAAATCTGTTCTTTGCCTCATTTGTTCCTTGGTTTTCTGACTTGGTCAACTACATAGTAACCCACACATTCCCACCCGGCATGCCTAGGCACTTAAGAGATCAAATTCAATCCCAAGCTAGGTTTTATATTTGGGACGACCCGTATTTGTGGAAGATGTGTTCTGACCAGATTATTAGGAGGTGCGTGGGGGATTGTGAAATTACTTCCATATTAAGTTTTTGCCAAACATTAGAGAGTGGTGGTCATTTTGGCCCTAGAAGAACTGCTCATAAGGTCCTAGAAGCTGGTTTTTATTGGCCTACTATTTATAAAGATGCTTATGAATTCTGCAAAAATTGTTCAAGATGTCAAAAAACTGGAAATCTGTCCAGTAGGTCTCAAATGCCTTTGAATAATATCTATGTCTGTGAATTGTTTGATGTTTGGGGAATGGATTTCATGGGGCCTTTTCCTTCTTCTTTTGGCTTTAATTACATATTGCTTTTTGTTGATTATCTTTCAAAATGGGTTGAAGCGGTTCCTACAAAGTTTGATAATGCTAAGACAGTAGCTAAACATGCCCAATCTCTGATCATAAATAGGTATGGAGTACCTAAATTTTTTATAAGTGATAGGGGAACACACTTTTTCAATAAAACTTTGGAGATTCTGTTTTCAAAATATCACATAACCCAAAGGATTTCCACAGCTTATCACCCTCAAACTAATGGTCAAGCCGAAATATCTAATAGGGAAATTAAGCACATTTTGGAAAAAGTTGTTAAGCCTGATAGGAAGGATTGGAGTTTAAGGTTAGATGAGGCTTTGTGGGCATATAGGACAGCTTATAAAACACCAATTGGGATGTCACCTTATAGGTTGGTTTTTGGAAAAGCTTGTCATTTACCAGTTGAAGTTGAACATAGGTCTTATTGGGCTGTTAGGGAAGTTAACTTAGACTATGATGCAGCTGGAAAAGAGAGAAAACTGCAACTTTCAGAGTTAGAAGAAATAAGACTTGAAGCTTATGACAACTCTGTAATTTATAAGGATAAAGCTAAGGCCTTTCACGATGCAAAACTCACTAGGAAACACTTTGACATAGGTGATAAAGTGCTGTTATATAACTCTAAATTGCATTTGTTTCCTGGAAAGTTAAGGTCCAGATGGCTTGGACCCTTTGAAGTGTTAGAAACCTCTCCTCATGGGGCTGTGGTAATTAGAGATTTCAATACTAATAAGATTTTTAAAGTTAATGGGCATAGATTGAAGGTATATCACCAAGGTGAACAGGTTGCTACGGTCGAGGAAATTTTCCTCGAGGAGCCATGAAGTAAGGCAGTAAAGTCTAGCCGGGACTACTAAACAGGGCAGCTTTCTGGGAGGCAACCCAGCACAAAAACAAAAAAAACAGGGATTTTAGTTACATTTACGTTTTCTTTTATATTCAGTTTTTTTTCTCTTTTCCTTGCATACTCTTTGCATTTAGTTTAGGATCATTTTTAAGCAAAAGTTTCATTCAATTAGCATAACATGCCCTGAGGACAGTGCATAGCCTAAGTGTGGGGGTGTGTAGCTGTTTCTTAGCACTATCCATGAAACCTTTAGTTTTTTTTTAACTAAAAAAAATCTGCACTTTAATCTGAATAAAAAGCACTGATTTGTTTTTAAATAAGCTACAGTTGATTTCATTCTAAATGATAAGGAAGGGTATAGCTTTATAAGAACATATTTGGCACCAGGAGTTATAAATCTGATTTTCAGATCTTAAAGAAAACACTTCTGCATCTTTAACTTTCCTTATACCAGGCCTTGCACAACTGCATTTTTGGTGTTTCTAAAGAAAAAAACTGCAGTTTCTTTTTTGAAGAAAAAAAAAGATAGAGATTTGCAGCTTTTGAGAAAAAAAAACAGATTCTTTTTGAAGAAAGAAAATAATTTTTGGACTCTTCATGCCTGACCAATTTTAAAATAAAGTGTTTGCACCATTTAAGAGGAACAAAACTGGATCAGGAGAGAGAATTGTGTGAAGATTGAATTTTTTTTTTTGTACTTTCTGGAGCTGCCTGGTTTATGTTAATGCTTCTTATTGGCTCAAATTTTCAAGAGTTTTAATTAAATTTCTCACAACAATAGTCTATGTTCTTAACTTAGATGAGTTTGTTTAACCATCCAATTATATTAGTTGTTCAATCTTTAATTGTTTAATCAAGTGGAATGCTCCTTATTTAATAATTTTCCTCTCTTGGTTAGTCACATAATTAATTTTTGGTCTAAGTAACATTCATGCACTATTACTCTCAAAAGGATCTGCCTTCTATCTTCTATCCATCTTCTTATCTCTCCATGCTAAGTTTCTAAGTAAAATCTTAAGGATGATAATATTTAGCTAGAACTGGTAAAGTAGTTCTTCTAGAGGTTCTGTCTTTGAAGGGTTTTTGATTGATTTAGTTGAGGTCTGATACATCAATGATAGCCAAGGTTGAACATGGACTTGTCTCCGTGCTAGCTTGTTATGCATGCACTACCGTTGGGGGGGGGGGGCTAGTATCGCATCATTAAACAACACGGGTGGACACGCAAGCTCGTGCATGTATAGCTTGGTAGCACATTTGCCAAAAAAAACAAAAAAAAAAGAACTTCATCGAACAAATCTGATCTGGCCTGGGGACATTTAGCCGCATTGCCTGTGCAACGAAGCATGCCTTAATGTAGGATTTAGCCTAGTTGTGCACCATGTTTGGCCAAACAACGCTTGAGTAAGTAAGTGATGACTTCCTAAATTGATCACGAATTCCTTTTCTTTTTCTTTTTACTAGCTACTCTACCTTACTCTAGCTAATTTTTTCATCCTTAAGTGACTTATTCAAAGACACTTCGTTTTCTTTTCTTTAAGACCTTGAAAGAATAGTTTTAGTGAATGTCATTTAGAATTAATCCTTGATTATGCTACTGATTTGGGAAAGGAATGTTTTTAAACATGGAGCAATCTAAGTGATTTAACAAGTTTTGCTTGAATAAGTCTTCTAATTGAATGTTTAAATAAATCTCTCTTAGGTTAATGGTTGGGCTATTCTTGTTAGAAATTTAAGGAATATTCTATGTCAAGTTGAGCCAATATTAAGTTTTGATAGGGTCATACACCTCCAGCAAGTTCAGTTTTGAGAAGTAAAAGTATAAGAATCTGTCTGTTTTATCTACTTTGCACGAGGGCGTGCAAGAAGCTAAGTGTGGGGGTATTTGTTGAGTCCAAAACATTCACTAATTATTCTCTATTAAATCAGTATTTTTGGGCATTAAAAAGTGCATTTTTACACTTAAATGATCATATTTGCATTCTAGGCATCATTTATAAAATATGTTCATAATGCACACTTTTCAGTTTATTTTTGAATATTATTGTTGTGGGCCCAAATTCTCCTTGACAATGGTTATTAGATATATCCTTGGAGCATAAAATGCGGGCTGAAAACGTGAAAGCAATCCAGTTGGGCTCTACCCCGACTTATGGTTTCAAAGGAAATCCGGGCCCAAGATGACAAAGCCCAAAAGTCCACCTCCAACACACACAAAAGTTTGAGAGAAGCTGCGTAAAAAAGAGAAAAAGAGAGAGAGACGTGTGAGATAGAAGAGCCGAAGACTCCCTCTCCTACATTGGGACGGCTTCTTCAAGTATAGCTGGAGCCGGAGAATGCGCAGCAAAAAAATCAGCGTCAAGAACCCTAATCCAAGACGGAAGAGGCAAAGCCAGCGCCTATAAATTGAAGGAGACGCTACGAAGAACAGGACCACCACCGATCAAGAGTAAAAATCAGAGCTAGAATCAAAGGGTATGAACCCTAGGGGGTTCGGATCTTATATCCGAAACCCCCTTAGTTTTCTTCTTCTTTAATTTTATTTGTTTTTCTCTCTGGTTGAATGTTTTCCCAATTAGTTTCCTTTGGGGTTTAATTTTGTTATTTTTAGTTTGGTTTGCTATTGTCGTGAGCACTGTCAAAATTTTGCTTCTGAATTATTGCGAAGTTTTTCAATTGATACAAAGGCTTGATTAAGTTCGTCCAAGCATGAAGTTGATTTCACTTTTGCACTGTTTGAGTTCAAGTTTTTCACTTCCAATGAATTTCGCATATGGTGAAATAGCAATTCTGGTAGTAATTTAGTTACCAAGAATTGTATTGAGTGGTTTCTCCACTCGAATGGTTCAAAGTGGTTTGGCAGTGAGCATAGCAAATTTTCTAAGGGAACTTTATTTAAAGTATTTCGTATGGTGTGGGGTCTGTTCTGGGAAAAAAACTACATTTGAAATCAGAATTTTTTAAGGGAATAATGAAACTTTTGTGCTTAAAGTTAAACATGTCTATGTGTTTGAACTTTACCAACAAGTGTTTTATTCTTAAAAGAATTTAAGCTTTTGCTACTTTTAAATTAATTCAAAGGTGTTTGAGAACTACTTTTCAATTGATTTTACTTAAGTTGGGTCAAATTAGGATCGCGACCTAATCCAATTTAAAATGATATTCTTTTAAAGTCCAAAGTGCTTTAAATAGCCGAACTTTTCTAGAAACCAAGTGTCACTTGATTAACCTAGGCTGCCTCGTTAAGTGGTTTTTGCTAATCAAGGTTCTCAAACTGATTTTGTTAAATAACCTTCGTGTTACTGCAAGATTGTTACGGTGATGTTTTCCACAAATCTTAATGCACTATT